CCTTTTTTATTAAAGGGATAAATAATAAAGTCCTTTAAAAATTTTGTTTTCTTCCTAAATGGCATTTGGAACAATCCAAGCGTTTCAGCACGGCTCTCCAGAGGGCCCCAGTTCAGGGACGCAGGGGAGCTGTGCCCGGCCTGGTGCTCGGCGGCTCCACCAGGGGCGGGGCTGGGCCAGGGCACATGGCTGAGGGGGCCTCTGCCTCACCCGCAGCGACTCTGCCCTTCTGTTGTTCTCCGCTGCTGGATACTTGTCCTCTTCCCTTCTTTCCCGTCTCTGGTTTCAAAGCTTCCCTTACTTGCTGTCTCATCGGGTTTCCCCCAGACAGACCTAAGAATAATGGAGCCAAGAGACAGGAGTCACATGCCGTGGAGAATTCTCCTTTTGCAGGTATCCAGGAACCTGAGCTTGACATTTAGTCAGATGAGTGCAGATTCGCTTCACCTGCTCGCAGGTGACTCGAGATGCCTGTTGCTCTTCTGCGGAACAGATGGCGCTGTGGCCATAGAAAGATTTCTTAATGGGGCGGATAGAGTCGAGTCTCTCTAAGCTCACGGGGTTGCGGCATGGCTGTGTGTGGTATATGTACTTTTTATACAGAAACAGATTCGTGCTGCCTCTCAGTGGTGGTGAGACCTTGTATATGCTTGTAGGGACATCCTCAGATGCCAGGATTGAGGTTTCTTGGGCAAGAATCAGGAAAGGAAAGGCCACCGGCTGCTGGTGAAGTCTTGCTGCAGCTGTGGCCCCTGTACCTTGAGTGCCTGTTGGAAAGGTCAGCCTGTGGGTGCTCGTGAACTGGGCCCTTCAAGGTGGCCCGTCCCAAGGGGATAAGGATTGGTGCTGGATTTCACCGGGGACCTCACATCCTAAACCTGGAAGGAGGAAGATTCTCTTAAGCAAAAAGCAGTGGAAGAAACAGCTGAGAACATAGAGTGGCCTGCATACAGTTTTACGCTTCCATAGCTCGAAGGGAAATACAGAATGAAACCAAACACGGGGGAGGAATTCCTGTGATAAGTGGATCAAAGGTCAATAGGCTTAATGTATCAATTTCTTATACAGACTGGTTAAAGTAAAAAATTTTTGAATGAAGATCCTAATAAATAGGGGCGCCTGGGTGGCTCAGTCAGTTAAGCGTCTGCCTTTGACTCAGGTCAGGATCTCGGGGTCCTGGGATTGAGCCCCAGATGCGGCTCCCTGCTCAGCAGGGAGTCTGCTTC